GCACACCCCCTCCTGGGGATGTGCCCGCAACCAAGGTACATGCCCTTGACCGGAATCGAACCTGGGACCTTTCAGTCTGCAGGCCGTCACTCTCTCCACTGAGCCATACCGGTTTCGGCCAAACCATATTTTTTAAAAAGCAGGGGACTGTTCCCGAGGCCAAGAGACTGGACTGGGCACACGGCCTGCAGGGCTCTCTTAAAGAAGTTTCCAGAGGCGGAAGGACACCCTCTCGGCCGAAGGCTCTCCGAGGGGGCCGGCATCCTGAGGGGCGTGGGCCGCTGGAAACCAGCAGCCACCCCTGGCGCGGTGCCCAGCCCCGGCCGCCCGCCCTCCTCCCGCCGCCCTGGAGGAGAGCAAGCTCCCGGGCGGGGCTGGACGCCGGCCGGGGTGCCACGGGCAGGGGAGCCCTCCGGGGAGCGCCCCGAGATGCCAGCGAGCGGAGGCCCACATGCCTCCGCCAGCCTCAAAGCAAATCGTCTCTTAATTCCAAAACACCAAATATTTAATTTATGCTTTACCTCAAATGTCAAGTCCACCTCCCGGCACATAGCTTTGGAGCCACGTAAGGAGGCCTAACACTTTCCATATGCCGAAGACATGGGCCTTTTAATTGTGCCAACTGGTATCATTCAAGGGTAATTCCCCGGGAATCCGGCGCAAGGGCAGCAGCTGGGCAGCCTCCAACCTCGGCGCCCAGCCCCTCGGGGACCCGCGGGCCCCAACCCGGCCTGCGCCCTCCCCATCTCCCCCAAACAGCAGGAGGCACGAGGTGTCCCCTCCTCACACCCCCACACAGCCTGGCAGCCCTCTGCTCCAGGCAGCCCGGCCTGCCCGGACCCAGGACCCAGCTCCCTGCACGGAAAAGAACAAAAGAGCCGAAAACCGTTTGGCTCAGGGGATAGAGCCTCGGCCTGCGGACTGAAGAGTCCTGGGTTCGATTCTGGTCAAGGGCATGTACCTTGGTTTCCGGCACATCCCAGCAGGGGGTGTGCAGGAAGCAACTGATTGATGTTTCTCTCTCATTGATGTTTCTAACTCTCTATTCCTCTCTCTTTCTCTCTGTAAAAAATCAATAAAATATATATATACTTTTTTTTTTAAAAAAGAACAAAAGGGCCACCCGGGTGTGGGGAGGCGGCCGACTCCAATACACACACACACACACATACACACACAGGAGCACACGTGGCAGGTGTGTGCACCCAGGCACACACGCCCTGCTACTCAGGGCTGCTCCAGGGAGGTCTCTGTGTTGCTAAGCTTTCCTCTTTCACCCCGTCCAGCTCCCACATTCCAAAGGTGCAGCTGGCTCTCCCACAGCCGCCTGGTGCTGCCTCCTGCATCCAAGACCATCCGGGACCCCGTTCTGCGCTTATTTTATCCTCACCGCGGGCACGCTGCTGGGGGCACATGACCGCCCCTTTTAGTGTTCTTGTGGGACGCGTGCACCTCCCGTTCCTCATTATTTCTCTCCCCGGAGCTCACGTTGCCCTGGACGTGACCTTAAACCCACGGAGAGGACACGGAAGCCACAGCCTTAGCCTGTGTCCCTCCAAGGGAGTCTACAGTGGTGAGGGATGGGGGGGCTCTGCTCTCATAATCTGGGGTCCCCATCTCCACCCCTCTCCGTGTCTCAGTGACCCTCCCGGTGTGTCATCTGCCGGAAGCCGGCCAGGGGTGATTTTCTTAGACCCGTGATCGGCAAACTGCGACTCATGGAGTCACATGTGGCTCTTTGGCCCCTGGAGCGTGGCTCTTCCACAAAATGCCACGGCCTGGGCGAGTCTATGTTGAAGAAGTGGCGTTAGAAAAAGTTTACGTTTAAAATTTTTGGCTCTCCAAAGAAATCTCAATCATTGTCCTGTTGGTATCATATTTGGCTCTGTGGACCGATGAGTTTGCAGACCACGGTCTTAGACCCATTTTGCAGACGAGCCCACCGAGGTGTACGAAGGTGACATGGCTCATCCGAGCTGGCATTCGGGAAGATGGGCTTGGGTTGGTGCCAGCGGGGGGCCCCCCTCTGACACCCCAGGATCTTGCATGTGACCCGGACCTGCCCTGAACGCTTACTAAGCCCCTCAGATGCCATCAGGGAGAAAGAGGGCAAGCAGGGGCCCCTCCCGCATCTGTGTACCCCAAAACCTGCCTCACCCCCAAACCTGCCTCACCTTGGGGCTTCTGACATCCTAGAAGGGCTCCGGAAAGGGACAGAGTCCCCCCGGCTGGCCGCTAACCCCACGGGCTATGGGGAGGGTTAAGGTAAGGTGGGCCTCGTGCTCGACACAGACACTTAATGAGCAGTAGTTACCACTGCGGTAATAATCAGAGGAGCCAATGAGCCACCACAGTGTGGAAGGTGGTGGAAGGCCCGTGAAGGGGCTGAGACAGAGGCCAACCACAAGGCAGGCCTGGGGTAGCTGGGGGGGCGAGGGGAGCACCCCTGCCAGTCCTGGGAGCCACAGACATGGGAGCCCACACCTGCCCCGGCCGGACGACATCACGGGAGAACCTGCAGCTCCTCCCCCTGCCTCTGGGAGTCACGGAGAGAAACCAGACTGCGGGCTGCCCACCGCCGTCCTGTTGGTGGGGGGGGTCCCCGTGTCTCCCAGACTTTGGGCATTCCGTCCCCACAGCCATCATTGTGACCCCTGGCACTTCATTCTTTATCTGGGAGTCGCAAGAGCGTCCGTGACATCACGGGTTTGGTGTCCTAGCTCTTTTTCTTTAGATAAAAGAAAACGGAACTGTCAAGAGTAAGCATATTCCTCCAGGTACCATCTGAAACCACCGTGTGGGCCGCCGTGGGCGCCCGTGACCTCTCCCCTCTGTGCACGTGACCTCTCCCCTCTGTGCACATGACCTCTCCCTCTGTGCACGTGACCTTCCCCCTCTGTGCACGTGACCTCCCTCCTCTGTGCATGTTCTACGTCCCCCTCTGTGGGCTCAGCAGCTGGACCTGGGCCCATGCACAGCCAGGTGTGCGGGTCCCAGTCCTAAGCACAACTTCAAGGAGCAAAGGTCCCCTCCCCTTAATATCTTGAGGGCAGGGCCCACCCCCACCCTCCACCCTCCTCCACCCACCACCCAACATGTGTCACGCTCATGGTTCTATGCCTCACATCTTCAAAAGCGCTTTGAACAAACAGTAATGACCCCTCCGTGTCTCTCTGAGATGGGGGGCGGGGGAGGGAGGGCAGGCCGTCCCATGCCGTCCCCAGCTGGGGGACAGAACCAGGCCAGGCAGCACAATTCCGTGCCTCCACCAAAGCCACCGACTCAAGCCGGGGCCCCTCGCCGCCCGCCCTCGCTTCCCCCCATGGCAACTTTTACTGGCCCGCATTCCTTCTGCCGTGAACGCCACTATTTAATTAAAAACGACAGACTTTTGTTTTCCCCTCCGTCCTTCCTCCGCCCTCCCATCCTCCAGGCCTGGATGCCAAGGAGACCCACCAGACACATGCGGGGAACATTTGTTCCGGCTTTGAAGATAAAAGTCGGCTGAAGGGAGCCTCGATGTATTTCAAGTTTCCCCTAAAGCACGGGGCAGGCTGCCGGCCGTTTAGGGAAAGGGGGGGGGGGGGAGGAGGGAGGATGGGGGGGGGGAGGGGAGGGCCTGCAGAAAAAAAACCTGTCATTCTGCAGGAATACTTTGTAAAAATAAACAGGCGGAAAAAACCCAAACTTGATTAATGGAAAGCCACTCGGCTGGCCTGTGTCTCGGGCCACGAATGCGTGTGTGCGTGTGGCTCCGTCGGATCGCTTTCATTGGGCTTTAAAACAAAGATGTGGGTCGTAAACTCGCGATGCTGGGGGGCCAGGGGGGAGGCTTACGGGTCTGTTTTCAAAGAGCCCAGCGACCGTGCCCCACCCATCACATTCTGACCCGACCAGGGGGCGGCGGCAGCACCCGTTCCGACCCGCCTGGCCTCGGGGTGCAGAGACGTGCGGCCGGGAAAGGCCTCGCTCGGTAAGCGGAGGCAGCGGAGGGGGCAGGTGCGAGCTTCCCCCGGAATCAGGGGTGATTCCAGCCGTGCCCGGGGGTCGGCTGTCTCCCCGGGCTCACCTCCCATCCCTGGCCCTGGCCACGGAGCTGCGCCCAGCCCGGTCCCACCATCACCACACACACTCACACACACACACGCACACGCACAGGCACGCACGCACGCACTCGCACACACACATCTGAGAACTCCACAGGCCCTCCCCAGCCCGCAGACAAGACCAAAGCACTATCCAGACCTGAGACTCAGCCTGTTCCCCTCGAAGTTAAAAAAAAAAAAAAAAATTAAATGTCACATCAAAAAGTGGATCCGGCTTTGATCTGGGCTCGCCGGACTGGCACGCAGACCATCTGAGAGCCCGTGCGGCGCTCGGAGCTTCGCCGGCCTGTGTGAACGCCAGTCCCCGGCCGGGCACGGTGCAGACTCACTCCCCGCACACATACCGCTGGCCAGGAACCACCCCACCGCGGGGACCTCAGGAGGGGGCCCCCCAGCAAGAGCCGAATGCGGCGAGCTCTCTCTCCTCTCCTCCGGGGCCTCGCTGGGGGCTCCACCGGCTCTCGGCGGCCCCCACGCTCTGCCACCTGGAGGGCAGCCTGACCCGCTGGCTCCCGGGTGGACGGGGCTGATGGACGCACAGACACACGGATCCTATTTGGAAGCCAGCTCCGTCCCCGACACCCCTCAATCTCTGCTCTCGCCCCAGCCCCACCAGTAAGCCCAGCTGGGAGTGCTGGCCACAGAGGCAGTCAGAGCAGAACCCCATGCCCCGCAGCTCAGACCAGCTCCCCATCATCGGCCGGACCTGCCCCGCCTGCTCACTCAGACCTGTCCCCAACCGCCACCTGTGAGGTCCCGCAGGCGGGGGGCATGCCGGGGGGCAGGGGCAGCGGGAGAGGGGCTCTGGGCCAGCGGTGCCCAGAGGGTGCAGGACGCTGGGGTGGGGATGGAGACCCACCCCGGAGGCGGAGGGAGGGTGTGTGGGGATCATACCCGGGTTCCTCTGCCGGCCGTGCCCGCCGCCCGCAGCTGCCGGGGTCCGGAGCCGCCGCCCGGACAGCGCTGCCGCCCGATCCACTCCTCGATGCCCTTCCGGGCCCAGGCGGCGCTCACGGCGAAGCTGTCACCTGGCGGGGGGACACAGCCATGAGTCCGCCCTGGCCCCAAAGTTACCGGGAGGCGAGGGCTGGGAGGGGGCTCAGAGCTAGGGCACAACCCGAGAGACCGCCCAGGCAGCCAGAAGGGGGTTCAGAGGAGCCCGGAGAGCAGGGACCCAGAGGGGAGCTGGAGGGGGGCGGGGGCAGTGCCCTCCCAAGGAGGAAGGGTCTGGGGAACAGAAGCGCCAGCCTCCCGGAGGCCAGGACCGCTGGGACGGGGAGGGTCTGAGGACGGGTGCAGGAGCACGAGGCGCGGGGAGAGGGAGCTGAGGGTCAGGGGAAGGGGTGCACGGGGTGCAGGGTGCGCAGGAGCCACCCCCTGGCAGAGAGGGGACGGGGTTTGGGAGGAAAGGGCTGGGAGGTCTGAAGCGAGGGCGCAGCGAGCGTGGAGGGCGGGACCGTGAGAGTGAGAGGAGGGAGGGGGCGCGGGGGCGCGGGACCGCGGGGCGGGGGGCGGAGAGGGGGCGCGCAGGCTGCTCCGGGGCGGGTTTGCGGGACCGGCGGCCGGAGCTGGGGCGGGGGCAGCCTGGTAATGGGATCCCGCGGGCTAGGCCGTCCCCTCCATCCCCTCCATCCCCCGCCCGCGCCCCGCGCCCTACCTTCCGGGCTCTCCCTGCGCTTGCACACGGCGGCTGCAGGCACATCGCGGGGCGGAAAGAAAGGAGAGGCAGAGAGTTAGCGGCGGGCGGCGGAGGCGCGGGGGCGGCGGGGGCCGGGGGGCCGGGGCTGGGGGCCGGGGCCGGGAGCCGGGGGCCGGGGGCCGGGGCCGGGGGCCGGGGGCCGGGGCCGGGGGGCCGGGAGCCGGGGGCTGGGGACCGGGAGCCGGGGGCCGGGGCCGAGGCTGGGGCCGGGGGCCGGGCCGGCGCGGCGGGGACACTGACCCGGCTTGGAGTGAAGTTTCCCCATGCTGGGGGCGCGGCGGCGGGGCGCCCTAAGCCATCGCCCGGCCCGCGGGCCCGCGGCTGCCGCCCCCGCCTGGCTCTCCTCCTCCTCCTCCGCCTCCGCCTCCGCCTCCGCCTCCTCCGCCTCCGGGAGCGGCTCCCGAGCCCAGCGGAGCCCGAGGCGGCGCCGGGACCAGCTCCTGCCGCCGACTGACGCCGGCCGCGCCGAGCCCCCAGCCGCCGCCCCCGCGCCGCCCCGCGCGCCCATTGGCCAGGGCGGCGCATCAAAGGCGAGGCGGCCGCCGGGGGCGGGGCGAGGGCGGGGCCAGAGGGGCGTGGCCGTCTGCGGGGCGTGGTCAGTGGCTGGAGCGCGACTCGCGGCGGGGCGTGGCCAGAGTCGGGGGCGTGGCCAGAGAGCTTGGGGCGGGGCGCGGCGAGACGCTGGGAGCCTGACACAGCGCCCCCTCCAGGCGGCCGTGTGCGCCCCCCAGGCGGGTGCCGGGGGCCAGGGACTCGGGCTGGGACCTGGTGGGAGGCTTGGGGCCCAGCTCTGTCCTGTCGCTCCAGTCGCTCCGCCCAGCGCCTCCCTCCGCTCAGTGCTCCCTGGAAGCGGCCGGGCGAGACGCGGAGCTGCCATCTGCAGGCGATGGCACCGAGATGGCCCCTGTGCATGCCCGGGGCACCTCCAGGCTTGGATCGGGGAGTCGGGCGCAGCTCCCCCGCGTCCTCGGCCGGCGGTGCGCCCAGCCCGGTGCGCCCAGCCCGCTCCCGGCGGGACAAGTGCTGGAGGGACGCGCGGTGCCAGCCCAGTGCCGCGGGGGTCAGGGCGCGCTGCCAGCCGCGGGTCCGGAAGGGGGTAACCGCTGGGGCTTTGATCTCCCTGGGTTTCCGCTCCCCGCTGCCGTCCGCCAGACCCGAGGGCTTGTTTGTTTTGTCTGGGGAGGTCTCTGCGCCGCGGGGAGCGCGACATCAAGGGGTTCCAGCCCACCTTTGTGGTTCAGGAGAGAGGACGCCGCTCCGCTGGGCACATCGCAGGCCTGGGGTTAGGCTCGTCCTGGTATCGGACAGCCTGCGGGTGGGGTAAGGAGACCCTGTGCCGGGGGGAGGCCAGCGCCGCCCTGGGCCTGAATCCTCTCCCGGAGCCTCAGTGTCAGCATCTGTGAAATGGGGGCTCGCGTCTTCCTGGTTGCCCACCCCTGAGAGTGGCTCTGTCCAATGGGAAGCTAGGTGAGCCACAGGCGTCATTCTCAATGTGCTAGGTAGCCACTTATTATTATTTTTTTTTTAAGCTAAAAGAGCCCAGCCGGTGTGACTCAGGGGTTGAGCTTGGACCCATGAACCAAGAGGTCGCTGGTTCCATTCCCTGTCAGGGCCCAGTTGCAGGCTGGATCCCCCAGTAGGAAGCTTGCAGGAGGTAGCCGATCCATGATGTGTGTGTGTGTGTGTGTGTGTGTGTGTGTGTGTGTGTGTGTCTCCCCCTCTCTCTCCCTTTAAAATTTTTAAAGAAATTTTAATGTGCGGGGCATGCAGGGGGGGGCGGTAGCCGATGGATGTGTCTCTCTCATTGATGTTTCTCTCTATTGTCCCACCTTCCTCTCTGTCTAAAATAAAATTTTAAAATATTAAAAATAAATACACCAGCCCATGTAGCCCAGTGGTTGAGCCACACGGTTCAGTCCCCTGTGTGTGTGGGGTGGGGGGTGGGGGGTTAAAAAGTTAAAAGACACAGAGGAAATTAATTTTAATACCACATTTCACTTAGTCTACTATATTCAAAATTTTGTAGTTTCAACACATAATGTGAGATTTCACTTTAAGTCGGTGTGTGTGCTACACTGAGACTACGTCGCAACAGGCTAACCACGTGGCAGTGGCCAAGGCCACACGTGGCTGGTGGCCACTGTCCCGAACAGCTCGGTGCAGGAGGCCGAGGCCCCGAAGGACTGGGGGAGCTGCCCGGCCATCAGAGTCATACGCACCCTTCACCCAACGGGGGCTCAGTGCCCTCCTCCACGCTTCCTTTTCCTCCACACAGGAACGAAGGCCGATCTCATGAGCAGGCACGTCGCTGTCCATGTTACATGGCAGTTCTTTTTTTTTTTTTTTTAATATATATTTTATTGATTTTTCACAGAGAGGAAGAGAGAGGGATAGAGGGTTAGAAACATCGATGAGAGAGAATCATCGATCAGCCGCCTCTTGCACACCCCCCACTGGGGATGTGCCCGCAACCAAGGTACATGCCCTTGACCGGAATCGAACCCGGGACCTTTCAGTCCGCAAGCCGACGCTCTATCCACTGAGCCAAACCGGTCCCGGCTACATGGCAGTTCTTTATCGGTACCTACCACGGGCCAGCCGCTGTCTCAGTCAGTGATTTTCAACTGGCAACTGCAAGAAGTCTTCAAACACCACACCTGACTGCTGAGTCAGGGCCCTGACCTCCCTTCCCTTAGACCAGTGGTCCTCCACCTTCCAACCCCACAGCCCTTGCTCCCAGCTCCTCGTGCTGTGGTGACCGCAACCATAACACTATTTTCGTTGCTGCTTCCTAACGGTCCTTTTGCTACTGTTATGAATCGTAATGTAAATATCTGTGTTTTCCGATGGTCTTAGGCGGCCCCTGTGAAAGGGGTTCGACGCACACACCCACCCACACACACACACACACACGCACACGCACACACACACACGCACGTGTGTGGGGACAGTGGGCGAGGTCTGAAGGCATCGGCAGGAAGAAGCCAAGGTTGCTGCTAAGCACCCCACAGTGGACAAGACGGGGCCCCGAAAGGAGGGACCTCCAGCCCCACGGGTCCGCGGTGCCCACGTGAGCAGCCCTGGGCTCTGGTGAGAGGCCAGGGCAGGACGGCAGGGCGGGTGGCAGGAAGGGGGGGGCACATGTCTGGGAACGGCATCAGCGGGGGCTGCTGTTTGTCTCTCTCAACCCACCACCCCCCCCCCCGCCACCGCCCCCCGCGGGCCGGGGCGCGTGGACACGAAAGCCTCGCTCTGCATGTCCTTTCTCACGGGGCTCAGTGCCGGCTCCTTCCTTAAACCGGCTGCAGCTTTCTTCTTTCCTGAGAGAAAAGGAGCCCCCGCCCCCGGGAGGCTCTCTCTGCAGTTCAAACAGAGATAAAAGCAGCAACTCAAACTCCAGTTACCAGCCTGAGTCTCCGGGAGGTAAATCCCCACTGTCCAGCCAGACACAAAGCCGCCCCCCCTTCAGCCTGGCCCCCCAGCCCGGCCCCCCCCAGCCCGGCAGGCGCCCAGGCCTGGCTGTGGGGGAATCGGGACACCCCCACCTGGCCCTGGGCAGGAAACAGGGCGATGGGCCTGGTACTGAAGCTGTAGCCCAGTTAGGGCTCTGAGCAGCGGCTCCCCAGGGGCCAGCAGCCCACCACCCCCTCCTGAGGTGGCTCTGTGGTCCCCACCGGCCTCCGGAGCCACGGCGCTCTGTCTGTTCATGCTTTAATAATTCATCGGGCCCACTTCTCGGGCTGTACACTCACAGTGGCACATCTTTTCCTTTGAAGATCGCCCCTCCTTGTGGGGAGGAGAACGGGGAAGGGAGGCGAAGGAGCGATAAGAGAGAGATTACAGCAGAAACGGTTTCCTGGGGCCTGAGATTCGGCGAGGCTGGCTGAGGTGAAGTCTGTCAGACGCGGAGCTGGAGGCTGGGGGGAGCGGAGGAGGGGACAGGACAGCACCCCCATGCTTGTCCCTGGGTTAAACCATCCGATCCGGCCCCCTTCCACCCACTGCCTGTAGGAAGCCCTTCTGACCTTCTGACCTAGGAGCTCTGACCCTCTGAATAGACCACGTTCCTCTGCCTCTTTCTCCACTGGGTGCGCCTCTGGCGTCTTGCCTGACCGGCAGCTCCAGATGCAGTGCCCAGCCCTGCCCATAGGAGGCGCTCTCCGCAGAACAAGAGAAGCCCGCCCAGCCCTACCTCCGACCCTTGGGTGCGCAGTGGTCAACAAGAGAGTGGGCAGCTGCCAAGAAGACGATCTGGGCCTGGCTGGTATGACTCAGCGGCTGAGCATTGACCCAAGAGGTCACTGGTTCAATTCCCAGTCGGGGTGAGGGCGTATGCCGGGTTGGGGGCTCGATCCCCAGTAGGGGTGGATGCAGGAGGCAGGCATGATGTTCCTCTCGTCGATGTTTCTATCTCTCCCTTCCTCTCTCTCTAAAAATCAATGAAATAATATTTTAAGAAGACGAAGAAGAAGATGACTATGGCCTGGAAAATACTAAAGAAAAATGTACTGTCCAAGCATCCTGGTCCCTTCCGGCCCCTGGAGCGCTTCCCTGCACAGCCCCCGGCGGCGGCGGCAGGGTTCAGTGGCCTGGTGTGTGTGAGGAGCCAGGGAAAGTGCCCTGCACGGGAATGGCAGTGGGATTCTGGAGTTGGCGACTGGGAAAGGGAAATAGAGTGTGAGGAGAGAGAAATAAAAATGGGTGATCAGCCAAAACCGGTGTGGCTCAGTGGTAGAGCGTCGGTCTGCGGACTGAAGGGTCCCGGGTTCGATTCCGGTCAGGGGCATGTACCTTGGTTGCGGGCATATCCCCGGTAGGGGGTGTGCAAGAGGCAGCTGATCGATGATTCTCTCTCATTGATGTTTCTGACTCTCTATCCCTCTCTCTTCCTCTCTGTAAAAAATCAATGAAAATATATATTTTTTTAAATGGGTGATCAGACACCTGCACAGGAGGGCTCCCGTGGGTCTGGGACTTCTCAAAGCAGCATCTCCTGCACCCCCAGCTCCTGCACCCCCACCTACTGCACCCCCACCTCCTGCACCCCCGGCTCCTGCACCCCCACCTCCTGCACCCCCACCTCCTGCACCCCCACCTCCTGCACCCCCACCTTCTGCACCTCCACCTCCTGCACCCCCAGCTCCTGCACCCCCACCTCCTGCACCCCCACCTTCTGCACCCCCACCTCCGGCTCCTGCACCCCCATCTCCTGCACCCCCACCTCCTGCACCCCCACCTCCTGCACCTCCACCTCCTGCACCCCCA